AGGGAAGGGGAGACCCTGCACACCCCCTGGCAGTTCGGGAGAGGATGGATGGGGAGGGAAGGGGAGACCCTGCACACCCCCCGTCTGCCCAGGCAGTGCTGACCCCCCCAAAGCAGGGCTGTGCTGCTGTGGGGGAGCATGAAGCCCTTTGCCTGCCCACGCCTAAATCCTGCCGCTGGCTGCCACAAAGCTTTTTGGCATTGCCAGAGCACCTTGGGACTGAATGCTCACCCTACCCGGGCTGGGGGATCTTCACCTGATGCATCCCCAAGGAATTGTCGGCAGCTCCTGCTGCCCGTGGCATCCCTGAGCAGCACAAAGTGAAGGAAATCACCCCTCTCCCTTACCGGGTCCCCCTGCCGTCCCCAGCTCTCTGCCAGGATGGCCTTGCACAGGAGACCCGAGGAGCCCTCCAAGCTCTCTCATCACTCCTGCAGATAAACATCTCTAAGTACTCCCACCCGTTGGCCTCGACCTTGCTGTTAAGCTCAAATAGTAACAGTTTCTAAACTTAATTGAGTTTTCCTCCTGCCCAGCAAGAGCCTCACACTCTGCTGGGAGCAGAAAGTTTTGTTATCAGCTCCTGTTATCTCCCTGACCTGGAGATAATGCTCCAGCCCCTCCTCTGTGGCACAGCCAGGGGAGTTCTCCACTTCAGGAGCAGGATTTGGTCCTTCCACCCCATCTCTGCCAGGCGCGAGGAGACAGCTGTGCCCAGTGCACTGAGCTTGCTCAGACAGTTCTCCTGGGGTTTGGTCCTTTTCAGCCTGTCTCAGGTCTCAGTAACAAACTGCAACAAAACTGCTTGTTAATGTGTTACTTACGCCAGACCTGTTTCTGCAGCACCAGTAAAGACCTGTACCTTACCCGGGCCTCAGCTCTAGGAGGTCAGGATTTTGTGTCTGTGCAGTTGTGTGTTTAACCCACCCAACTTTGCCCCAAATAATAACTTCTACAAGAACAGAGAGAGGCAGTACTCAGTTTTATTGTTTTGAGAGAGTATTTGGAAGTTCAACTGGAAACAAGCTTAAACCAACCACTCCCCAAACCCCCTCCAACAATTTACATAACCCAAAACCAACTCCCTCAAATAAATGAAAAAAATCAAAACAAAAACCAGACAGAAGCCAGATTAGGAGTAGTTTTACCATGATTACATGAACTACTGAAAGTAAACCAACCCCTATTCCTTATATCATTGACTTAAAATAATTGGGAATTCCAAAACCCCTTTCAGCATATTTAGTGATTTTAAAAGTTGTGGCAACATAGGGAAAACCAAGTATCAAACTTGCATAATTCTTGACTGTCATCTACAATGACAGCATCAAAAAGTGCTCCAGAAGATTTTAGGGTCTATTACAAGATGTTCAGTGAGGAGTTTTACAGGGGGGAAAAAAAAAGGATGTTCCCTTACCATCAACTAAGAATGTTTCATGCTCTGTGGAGCCTGTATCAAGTGAGGTTTGGGTGTCTAGGGCCTCATTCCCAATTGCTACAAGGTGGAAGAGATGAGAAGCCACATCCTGCAACTCTGCACACTACTCCTGACAGCCAGTGCAGCTCTGAATTGCAGGCAGCCCCTTCTCTGCCAGAGCCCTTCAGGCTCTGCCAGGCTGGCACCAGAGGTCACAGCAACAACACCGAGGGAAGTTTTCAGATCAGAGTCCAGAAAGCAGGCACAAGCTTCAGCTTTATTGTTTTCCAAGCAATTGTCATCTCTGTAAGGGAATGATGTTGCAGCTGAAAAAGAGGGTAGAAAGAAGTATTAAAATCTCAGCTCTTAAACAGGCACAGAAGATCTGACACGGGATGAACACAGTCCACTGGTTTCCCCCACCAAACAAACCCAGCCCTGAGCCCTTCCTCCCTGTCTCATGTTTGATGGGACTTGCCCCCATATCACTGTGCAAAGCCATCAGCCTACAGCTCCCAGCAGGGCCTGGCACAGTGGGCAGACACACACCAGGGCACAGCCCAGAGCTGGTCCTGCTGCAGGAAACAACTCTGAGCTGGTGAAAGCTTCAGCCCCTCTGGCAAGTGAAACATCAGCTCACCCCAGGAGGCCCTTCCCGGCCCAGCGCTTCGGAGTCAGCCCCACGTGCACCTTTCTGCCGCTGCGGAGCACGGTCACACTCAGAGGCCTCTGAAAGGGAGGGAAAACAGCAAAAAGCAAAAAATTCAGTTTTTCAGTGGCAAGTCAACTCTCTTCTTCCTTCTTTTGCTGAAGCAGCCCAAGAACGTGCGGCCCAGGGAGCTGCTCTGCAGCAGTGCCCATTCCCATCCCTGTGGCCGTGAGTGTTGTGTGTGGACACAGCTCCAGCAGATCCCTCACTTCCACTACAAAGCACTTCATGGCTGTGGCAGCTTCTCTGGCCAGTGCACGAGGGTGGCACAGCAATGCTGGCTGTTGTGCAGAGTCCCCAGGGGAGAACAGACAACATGATGTCCAAAGCAAAAAGCACACACCTCTCAGCTCTTCCATCCATCAGCATTTAGCTCAATGCTGAGAGAGAACAAGGCTACAACAGCACAGACTGAACCTGACACTGTTTCTGACGTGGAAATGATGATTCCAGAGATCCAAGTTCCATAGAAAAAGCTGTGGCTAACAGAGACAGGCAGGAGAATGCAGTCACAGCAGAAATGGGCTCACCCCCTCGCTGTGCTGCACCACTGTGGCAATGTTCTGCAGGTTCTGGAAGTTGTTCACATTGACAGAGCCAAACTCCACAATCTCATCATCAACCTGGAGTCCCTGAACAGAGATAGAAGAGAGATGAACAATTCCATTCTCCAAAGACAGGACATATCACAAGGCAATAACACAGGAGCATCTCCCTTCACCCAGCCACACGGAGAGAGATGTGCTCTGACACTGCTCATCATTCAGGCAACCAAACTACCTCACAGGCTCTCCATGGCCACAGGAAGAGGTAAGTACTCATTCCTCTGTCCTATTTTATGGAAAGAGAAATGCTGAGGCTAGAATGGCCAGTGAGGCATGGGACGAGCTGTATGGTGCCACAATACAGCCAAGGGAGCGCTCACCTCACTCCTGCACTGTGACTAGTCTGCTCACAGGACATCCTGGTGTGACCAAAAAGGGGAGACTCACCCTAATCAACCCCCCAACTTATTGCCACTTAAGAGCCAGAGAAAGCCATCAGCTGTTTCCTCTGGCTCCAGAGAGCCCTGCCCAGGAGCCGACGTACCGAGATGCTGGCGGGAGAGCCTGGGGTCACGGCGTTCACCTTGGCGAAGGGCTGGGGCAGGCTCTGGCTCTGGCTCTGGGCCTCAGCCAGGGCCTCTGCCTCGTCCCTGGCATGCTTCTCCTTCTCCCGGGCGTGCAGCTGGTGCAGAGCTTCCTCCACCTGCTTCATCAGGGCCTTGTGGTCGTTCTGCAAACCTGCGGGCGACACCGTTAGCACATGGGGAGCAGGAGCAGGCTCCACCTCAGGGTTCTCAGCGCGTGAGCAGCGGCACGGAGCGGTGTCCTGCGTGTCTGAGCTCAGCAGTAACCTCTGGGCTCTATCTGCCCAGGGCCAGCCCAGCAGATGTTTATCAGCAGAAGGCAGACACAGAGAAAACCACCCCACACATTTTGGTAAACAGGCAAGGGCAGCAGGGCCGGGAGGGCCACGATCCCTAGGACTCAGCGAGCAGCTGAAGTTGTCTTTCTACCATGTCACCTCCTGTTGTGTCTGAGGAGCAAAACCCACCCCCAGCAACAGGGCCCAGGGCAAGCCTGAAACGAGATAAACGCTGAGATACTCTACAAATACCACAACACGAGCAGCTTTGCTGCATTGCACAGACCACACACAGCTCCCAGCAAGGCAGAATTTCCACATCACTGCACAACGCGCGGACAAACGCGTCTCGTGGGCTCAGCCAAGCGCAGCGAGCGGGACCTGTGTTATCCATCCCT